CGATCAAATGATGGCGAGAATCAAAGAAGCCGAACACACGCAAAAAGTAGCCGAATTAAAACAAAAAATATCCAGGTTGGAGCTGAAGGTAAATAAAAATCAAAAAGCAAAAAAAAAAAGAAAGTTGAATGGTACGAGTTATATTTTCATTCATGTTAATTAATTAACTGTTTTTTTTTGCAAACATTTCAGAACCACGAAATGGTTGCAGAGGGTGAACTGAGGTCAAACGTCGATGATAGCGAACGAGTCAAAGAACTGCAAGACGAGGTTGCGTACCTGAAAGCAGAGGTAAATTAAAACGATGTAAAAAAAATAAATATATTTTGTACAGATTTAAAAAGTATAAAACCAAAGCAAGGTTTTAGTTAGAGTGTAAAAAAAAAAAATTCAATTCGAGTAAGAATTTTAATTAATTTTTGTAACACGCGCACATGTGAGTGATTTTGGCGGCTTCACGCAATAATTCAATTTGTAAATCAGTTGCCATAACAGCTCCAATAACCAATGGAAAGCATGCTTTGTACAAAAAAAAAAAAAAATATGGGGAAAAAAAACAATCACGCGAAATTATTATTATTATTATTATTATTATTATTATTATTATTTGTTTCGAAAACTCGTACAAAAAAACTCGAAACAAAAGGGGAAAATTATGAAAACGTGTCGAAAGTTAAACATGAAACGTTAAAATTATTGCATTATCGCGGTCAAGTGCATTTTTTTTTTTTAAGGTAGCCTTCGAAAAAATCAAGTAGCATAATGAGAGTACCTACCACCGTAGGCCCCTACGTGACCCACTAAAATGACCTTTCACGGTTTTCGATTTCGATTTTAAGGCGTGAAAGTTTAAATGTAAAATTTTATTATTATTATTATTATTATTATTATTATTATTTAAATAATCTCAATCGCTACTACGCGCACGTAACAATTTGATTTGTTACTGGCTCACGTAATTCATGAATGAAACAAACAAACAAACAAACAATAACAAAAACAATAACAGGCGTGTGCGTCTTTGTTACGAAAGAAAATTTTTAGTAGCGGCCATTTTAATCGACCAAAACATGATTGTAAATAATGCTTGGTGGCTTTTTTTTTTTTTTTTTTTTTTGAATTTTCTAAAGTCACGACAAAATTTACGATTTGGATAAAAGAAAAAAGAAAAGAAATTTAATTCATTTTTTATATTTATATATATATTTTTATTGCTTGTATCACTTGATTTTATGCTTACTGGAACACATTGATTATATCTGATAAAACGGGTATGATAACGGGTTTATTATTATTATTATTATTATTATTATTACTATTGTTTTCTCTCTCTCTCTCTTTCTATCTCTCTGACTCTCTCTCTCTCTCTGTTTGCCTCTTCTTTACTTTCTCTTTGTGAAAGTTATCACTTGTGTAAATTTAAAAAAAAAAAAAGAAAATCTCATTCTCATTTATTTTTAAATTTCTGATCGATTGATCGATCGATTGATTGATTGATTGATTGATTGAAAAAGAAAAATGATGATGTTTATGTAAAAAATAATTAATTAACTTGACGATGTATTATTATCTATCCGTTTATTTAGTTACCGACTCCCGCAAGTCCGGATACCGAATCCTGGAATTGGATCGAGTAAGTTGATTGATTCATCCAGAAAATATTGGCTGTTGAATTTTTTTTTTTTGTTTTGTTAAACTATTGATTGATTGATTGATTGATTGATTGTTTGTTTGCATGTATAAAGTCAAAGATGTATGTATAATAATAGCGCATACTTTTTAATTCCTTAGAAAAAAAAGAAATTTTTTTATTGTTTTTATTGTTTTTATTATTATTGTTATTATTGTTATTGTTATTATTATTGTTATTATTATTATTATTAATTTTTTTTTTCGTTTAATTTTGTAGAACAGGTGAAATGGTATATATTGTTTTTGTTTTATTTTATTTTATTTTTTTGTTAAATTAAGTACCGGTAGTAACGAATTCGATTTTTTTTTTTTTTTTCTGTTTTGGATTAACATTAATCGGCGAGCTTTTAAGTATTATTATTATCATTATTATTTAAATGGAAATTTAAAAAGAAAAATGGAGTGAAAATGATTTGTTTTTGTTTGTTTTTCGCAGGTGATTCAATTAGAAAATTGGAAAGAAAAACAATTGACGGGATCATGTCGGACGGTGTCGGTCGATACGGAAAGCGAACACGAAGACACGACGACGAATTTCCAGTTGACTTTAAATAATGACGTCAACGCTCCTACGGACACGTAAACGCGTCGCGTGGCGCGAATCAATCAAAAACCACGACAAAAAAAAAACCGTTACGAAAGAATAACAATCGCAGAGTTTTTTTTTGTTTTCTGTCTCTCTCACTCTTTCTCTCTCTCTCTTTCTCTTAAACGTTTTTTTTTTTTTTTTTTTTTTTTTTCCCACGACGTGTCGAACGGGAATTTATATTTAACGTCTGGCCAGTTAACTCGTATACGAATATCAATTTAAAAAAAAAATAAAAAAAAAATGGCACGCGACGAATCGTGATGTAATGGCGTCGATTCGAGCGTTCGATGTTCCGGAACGAATTTAAAAAAAAAAAAGAGTCGCGCAATCGGATTCGAATGGGTTTTTTTGTTTTGTTAATAATTCCGGAGGAAATTACTATTACTTCCGGTTTGTCGAAACGAACTCGAAAAATGATAATCGTCATTTCGATTAATTAATTAAAATGCTCCAACAACAAAAATTTTTTATCGATTTAATTTCATTTGATTTTATTATTATGATTATTATTATTATTATTATTATTATTATTATTATTATTATTATTATTATTATTATTATTTTTACAAATACTTTATTATTATTATTAATATTATTAAATAGATTTTTCATAAGGTAACCGTTAATGAATCATCGTACGCGTTTACACACACACACATACATAAATAAGGATATATATATATATAAATTTTTTATGCATATATTTTTTTAACTAATCACAAAAAAAAAAAAATGGCGCTTTAATAATAAATTTTAAATCATTCCAAAAATTAAAAAAAAAATTAATCGTTTTATGTAACGAATGGGGATTCGAATCGGGCTTTAGAATTGAAATTATTATTATTATTACTATTATTATTATCATTATGTATTTATGTATTTTTTTTTTTTTAATGTCGAAATTTGTGATTTTTGCAATAAGTTTTTCTCCCTCTCTCTCTCTCTCTCTCTCTCACTCTCTCACAATTTCTATCTCTATCTCTATCTCTCTCTCTCTCACTTTTGAAATTGAAATTTATTATTTTATTATTAAATGAAAATTTTTATTTATATGTAAATGGAAGCGAGGATGAAGTAATTGAATTGATAGGAGAGAGAGAGAGAGAGATAGAGAGAGAAATAATAATAATGATAATGATAATAATGATAAGTTTTAGGGAGAAGAAAAATAATTTAAAAGTAAAAATTAAAATTTATTTATTTATTTTATTTTATTTTTTATTTATGTTTTATGTTCAGTATTAAATTTATAATTTTATGCGATAAATGTAATCGTTAGATCGATAAATCGATCGATCGATCGATTGAATATTTAAATTTATTATTAATTGTTCGATTAACAAATTTTATATATATATAGGAATATGGCAACTGGTATGCTAAATGATATTAAATGAAAAATGGCGTGAGGCGTGGGAGTGGGGGGGAGGGGGAAATAAATAATAATGATAATGATGATGATGTAATTTTATTTATCCACGTAGTACTTAGGTCGATAGAAATTATTATTATTATTATTATTATTATTATTATTATTATTACGATGATTAGATTGAATGTAGGGGTTGATGATAATGATATAATGATAATGATATTTGTTTTTTTTTGTATATGAATCGCGTGAGTTATTTTTTTATTTCATTCATTTTCATTCATTCATTCATTCTTTCATTATTATTATTATTTAACAAGGAGTAATATAATTGAGATTAATGAGAAGAAAAAAAAATGGCGCGTAAAAATTTAAAACGCTGTGCGTTTTATAAAAACATTTTTTTTTTTTAAATAAAATTTTGTATTTTTTTGATGTTGAAAGAAAAAAGAAAAAAACAAAATGGCGGCGATATTTAATTTTTTTTTTTTATTATCATAATCTTAAATAAATAATTTTTTTTTTTTTTTTGTAAAATTAATTTAAAAAATGATTTTTCGAAACGGTGTCAAATATGCATTTTAACAAACGGGAATGAAAAATGATAATAATGATAATAATAATAATGATAATAATAATTTTTTTAATTTAAAAGAAAAAAATGGAAAAAAACTTATTGTGCCGTCCAGTTAATAATTTTCACCGTGAAAATTTTCCTTTTTTTTTTTCTTTTTTTTGTTTTTAGTTGTAAAACCATTAAAATGAAAATGAAAATATGTAGTATATGTGTAACAATTAATTAATCTATTAATTAATTAATTATTAATAATAATAATATTATAAAATTTCGATGGTAGGCTCAAAAAAAAAAAAGAGAAAAAAGAAAATACGATTGGATGATATTTTTATGCGTTTTTAATTGATTTGTTTATTTTATTTTTATTATTAATTTTTTTTTTTTTTTGTAAATTATTGTAAAAAAGGAAGGAAAAAAAAGGAAAAAAAGGAAAAAGAATACTTAACACGCCATACTTATAACGAAATCATTCTAAAAAAAAAAAAAAAAAATTAACTTAACGTTTGTTGTTTTGTTTTTAATCAAATTCTAATTCGTGCAATTTTTTTTTTTTTTTTTATTTTAAATCGAAAGAAAATTAATAATAATAATGATAATGATAATAATTCCTACTTTGTTATTTTATTTTATTTTACTATTATTATTATTTTTTTTTTTTTTTTACCCGTCCATTATATATATTTTAAATTTTAAAAAATTTATTTTTTACTTATATATAAATATATTTGTGAAGATTAGAAATAAAATTTTAATTTAAATTACATGAGGAGGAAAAATAAAAATAAATAAATAAATATTATTTTTTATTATTATTATTATTATTATTTAAATATTATAATTAATTTAAATGCTTTTTTAATACAAAAAAAAATTGATTTTTTTATTTTGTTTGATTGAATATATATGTATTTATTATATTTATTTATTAGAAAAAAATAAAATGAAATTATGTATAGAATAAAATAAAATAATAATGGATGTGTAATTGATGATGATGATGATGATGATAAATAAATAAAAGACAAATCGAATGTTTATGATTAATAAAAAAAGGCTAAAAGATATTGAATATTATATATATATATATATATATATAAATATGTGAAATTTTTATATAATTTTGGGTTAATTGTGATTATTATAAACTATTTTGTTTAAGTGCAATGACATTCTATGTAAAAATAAAAATAAAATAAAATAAAAAGTGAAAAAAAAAAATTTATAATAAATATTTTATAGAAGTATTTATTTATTTATTTATTTATTTATTTTCACATTTATATCACATTTTAAAGTTTTTTTGATTAATTAAAATATATTATGAAGATGATGGAGATGGTGAAGATGATGATGATGATGATGATGATTAGGTGATTTATTTTATTTTTAAGTGAGAGAAAAGAATAAGAGATTTAATTAATTTAGATATCGTTAACTTATAATAAGTTAATTATAATTTACTTAACAATTTTCCTTCGTTTTAAATATTTATTATAAAAATAATTACTTTTTTTGTATCGATATGACTGTTACAGTTGACGTCCATTACTGTTACTTACATATTTGGTGGAAATGATAATAAGTTTCATAAGTTGGCACTCCCGTAAAAAAAAAAAAACGTAAATTTCTCATTCGAGAAAATAAACAAAAAAATGGCGTCCGAAGAGGAATTACCGGCGGGTTGGGAAAAAAGAATAAGTAGATCAACTGGTTAGTCGGTTCGAAAGTTGATTATTTAAATAAAAAAATAATTATTTATTGTTTTAAATAAAATAAAAATTTGTTGTAAATGTTATTAATTCATTCAATGAATTATTTTAAAGACATTGAAAAATCAATAATTTAATAAATATATCCAAACGCATTTTTTTTCTCTCTCTTTTTTCTCTCTTTTTTTTTTTTATACGTTAAAATAATTTTTTTCCTGTCGTAATATTAAACACGCACGCATTAATTTTTTTCTATATTTTAAAATGGTACATGTTACCTCCAAAAGATAAATTTTAATATTGATTTAAAATCCAACCAATATTCAATATACAATTTTCTTTAATTGTATGTGAATACAAATTTTTTTTTCTGTTTATTAAGTAAAAAAAAAAAAATTTTTTGTAGGTCAATTTTACTATCTAAATATTCACACGAAAGAAAGTCAGTGGGACAGACCAGTTAAACCAGCCGAACCACAATCAGGTGTTGGTCCTGAACAAGTTCAATGCAGTCATTTATTAGTTAAACATGAAAATTCGAGGAGGCCATCATCGTGGAGAGAAGAAAAAATAACTAGAAGTAAAAGTGAAGCATTGGAATTATTAAAATGTATAATTTTATTATTATTATTATTATTACTACTTAATCATGATTTGTAAAAAAAAAAAAATTTTATTATCGAAAACGAATGAAATGTTTTTCTTTTTTTTTTTTTTCTAGCGTACAGAGAGCAAATTGTATCTGGTGCTGCATCATTTGCAGAATTAGCTCAACAATATTCAGATTGCAGTTCTGCCAAAAGAGGAGGTGATTTAGGTCCTTTTGGAAAAGGTGCAATGCAAAAACCTTTCGAACAGGTTGCATTCGCATTAAAAGTTGGAGAATTAAGCGAACCTGTCGATACTGATTCAGGGGTTCATATTATTTTACGTACAGCTTAATATTAACGACAACGATAATAATTACAATTTCTTTCAACCTTTCTTACTTTTTTTTTTTGTTTTCTCTACTTTTGATGTAGGAAAAGGTTTTTTTTAAAATAACGATTACCTTTTTACAGTAAATTATCATCATCTTCTCGGAATAATTTAAGCTTTTTAGCAAACAAATTCTCATTTGATATTTATCGCTTTAAAAATTTAAAAAAAGGAAAAGGACAAAAAAAATTTAATAAATATTTATCTAGAATGTTCTACGTAGGCGAATTATTAAAACTTTATAATTTTTTTTTTTAATAAAAGAGGGGAAATTAAAAGAAAAGTTTTTCAAGTTGAAAAACACGTAAAACATTTAATTTAGTAACATTGTTTATTGCTGTTTATATATATAATTAAGAAAATAATAATAATAATAATAATAACTTAATTAAATAGGATGTTATTTAAATTATGACGTCATAATTGATTTTATTTATGGGAGAGTAGGAAAAAAAAAAAAAAAAATTTATTACATTCATTCCTTTTTTTATTTTTTTTCGTTGTCATTATTATTATTATTATTATAAAATCAATAGACTGTAAAAGATTTATTGATTTTTTATTGATTTTTCGTTTCGAATGAATTAAAATGATCGTTTTTTTTTTTTTTTTT